CCTGCTGAATCATACCAGAGGGGTCATGGAAGTCACAGGTTTTGCTTTATTATTATATTTAAAAGTTTCGGAACATGAAGTTCCCTAAAAGCCCTTTCTCAAAGAATCACAAAATCACAAACGTTTGGGAAAGTGTAGTTTTGTGCACAGTAAAGGCCTGGACAGTGATTAGGAGAATGCCCATATCTGGAGTTTAGGACAGAAACCTATCCTGGCTATAAAATTAAAATTACACTGCAGAGCAATTCACACCATACACTATACCCCAGCGTCTAAGCCAGGCCCCTAGTTATTAAGTTCACTGTCAAATTCGGGATATACAACTGTGACTGGCCAGACTCCAAATCTCTCAGCATCTGCACAGTGCCTGACACAGGGTTGGCATTTAATGTTTACTGAATAAATATACAATCCATGGAAGGAAGGAAGGAAGGAAGGGACGGACATTGCCCACTTGTGTTGGAGGAATAACAGAGTTGGCAGGTAAACAGGCCAAGTATCTGAATTTTTAACCTTCTCCGGACTATGATAGATAAACACACACCATCAGACCACCTATTTCTGCTAAACATGGAGTTTATTGGTATCATTCGGTACAACTTTAGTCCTACCTTTCCTAATTCCAGGCATGTTAACCGTCCTTTAAAATTCATGCTACACTACTTCGGAGGAAAATACTTCCACCTTAACATGTTTAAAGAAATGCCAGAAACTTTTATTCCTACCAATTTTGTTTTTTTTAGCTGCCTCAGCTACAGATTTCTAACACAGTGCATGTGGATCTAATGTCCATGTGAACGCACACCAACTAGTTACTGACTTTTTAAAGCAATTCCTTTGCAGATACCAAATGACACAGTCCTGGGCTGTGCAGAGAGGCCAAAGGGAAGCCATCACGTTCCAGATTTTCTCCCTCTTGTGAGCCTGGTCTTTGATTAACAACTGCAAATGGCCTTATTGGAGAGAGAAAACACTCAAGAACACAAGCAAAGGGAAGTGGAAAGCTGGAAAAATGCAATGTCTTCTGAACCCTGAGGGCTCCGAGGTGACCACTACTGTGATATTATGGTTCAGAGGCTGACGTGGACCCAGGCCCGGGGGGATGCTGAAAGCAGATGAGAGAGAAATGGGTGTGACTGTATCACAGAGGCCCTCCCTGGGACACATCATGGGTGTTGGGGGGGTTAGTTTGTGTAAAATTGGATCTGAATCTGTCTCATCCTGAGCTAAGGAAACAAGGGTAACAGAGAGTTTTCCTGTTTGATTCCTCATACATGTGGGTTTAGAGTTGGGTGAAAGCCAACGTTTAAGTTAACACGGTAAGCTTTGAGATGGTGGTATTTCTAAAAGGAAGAATGAAAGAATAAGCTTGCCTGAAACAGCGCGCACGACCATGGCCAGGAGAGCTCAGAACCGACTGTGACTCCTTCGGCCAGGAACCTACCCCTTCTACTTTTCTGTTTCCTAAACTGGCCCGTGCTTTTGCTCGCCACTTTTCCATCAGACCACACTGCAGCAGTTAGTTGCAAGGGGGCAAACTGAACATACATTTGCAGTTTATTACCCTATGGGAGTACTCTGCCAATACATTTACGTGATAAATAGGAGGCTGAGAACGTCCCAACAGGCTAAGACGGTCTCCCAAGGCACTCAGCAGCGTTCCCACACAGCAAGGGCTACCCACGTCTTCAAGGTTCCGTGATGGGGTCCAGGATGTGAGAGGCACCAGAGAAGTCCCTCTGCCCTTCAACTGGCCGAACACTCTGCTAGTTGACGCAGTTCTTTGTGATTCTTCGACTTCTGCCCACCTGTCGGATGCTGTCTGCGACGCTAATGGTGACTTCTTTTCCAGACGTTCGCTTAGTGTCTCTTTTAGCCTGTTAAAAAGTTTAAACACAGTGAATTGAGTTACTAGGAAATATCCAAAGGTCCTGACATTTGCATTAATCTCTTGAAGTTGTTGCACACACACACACACACACACACACACACAGATGCAGAAAGAACGACCCACAAGGACACATGCACATATACTCCTTTTCATAGGCTGCTCTGTTGAATCTCTAATACCAACCTAGTGCAGAGCTTGGAATAGAAATGCTCGGTAAAGCACTGTTGAATGAATGGATGAATGAATTGGCAAAGGTCCATCAAAGGGCAATGTGATTCCATATATATGAGTCAGCATACGGTATTTGTTTTTCTCTTTCTGACGTACTTAACTCTGTATGACAGACTCTAGGTCCATCTACCTCACTACAAAAACTCAATTTCGTTTCTTTTTATGGCTGAGTAATATTCAACTGTATATATGTGCCACATCTTCTTTATCAGGAATAAAGAGGTAGACTTAGAAAATGGACTTGAGGACATGGGGTGGGAGGGCGAAGCTGGGGTGAAGTGAGAGTAGCATCGACATATATACACTATGGAATGTAAAATAGATAGCTAGTGGGAAGCAGCAGCATAGCACAGGGAGCTCAGCTCGGTGATTTGTGACCACCTAGAGGAGTGGGAGAGGGAGGCTCAAGAGGGAGGGTATATGGGGACACGTGTATGCATATGGCTGGTTCGCTTTGTTGTTCACAGTATTGTGAAGCAATTATACTCCAATAAAAATCTCTTTTAAAAAAGGGCAGAAACAAAACAAAAACAAACAAAAAAAAGAAATAAAAAAAGGGCAATGTGAGAGGTTTCACAGCTGACTTTGGTACAGCAGCTAAGGGTTTGAGCTTTGGCGTCAGACAGACTCTGGTTTGAACACTGACTATGTAATTTCACTGTGGGCAAGTTTTTTCTAACCTCTCTAACCCTTAGATGAGTTTCCTCATCCGTAAGATGGAGGATAATAATAGTACCTAACGCATAATGTTATTATAAGGATTACCTAAGGTAATGAATGTAAGGTACTTAGCACAATGCCTGTCATTAACTAAAAATGAGGGGAAAAAAAGACTTGACAAGTATAATAAGTAAAAAGTAGGATATATTATCCATTTCTTTTTTTCAATTTTTTTTATTGAATGATTCTTTAAATTCCATAGTGCCTTGCAATTTTCAGAAGTTTCACATACATGATTTCATGTAATCCCATAATAACCCCTTTTTCCCCCAAGCTTATGTTGCCCCTCCCTCCTTAACCTCTCCCCACTGGTAACCACTAGTTTGTTCTCTAAATCTGTAGATTATCCACTTATAAGTGAGGAAAGTCCAGAATCTATATTAAATACTAAAGTATTGACTAAATTGCAGGTTCTTCAAGCATATGTGCACAATCCTCCCACTCCCCCTCAAGAGAAGACAGCTGGACCACTGGGGGGTCATTTTGTGCCCGTTCCTTTCAGTGATATGTGCTCGGAGTGAGCCTGAGACTGGTCTCACGAGTTGTCTCCATCGGGGATGGACAGAGATGTGTGCCCCCAACCCCACTCCAGGAAGGCCCTATGCCTAGCTGCAGGGGGTACAGCAGGCAAATAGCCTCCAGCTGTCCCTTCAGGGCAGCCTCAGCTGCAGAGAAACCCCTCACCCAGGGCCTTCCCTTCCTAGGTGGCCCAATGCAGGGGTATAAACGCCTGGCCATCTGACCCAAAGCAGGACAGCTCTGACCTGCCATTTAGCTTCAGAGCTTCCCATGGGGTGGGGTCAGCCGCGGCTGTGGGCGGGCCTGCACTGTGGCTCAACTTCTCCCTCTGCCCGCTCCTGCTTCCAGCGCTCCCTCCCGCAGTGCTGACAGGGCATTTCCCAAAGACCATCTCATAAAATGACATCTCAGAGTCAGCTTCCTGGAAAACAGTCAGTCTCAGATCTGTGGGAGCATCTCCCAGAGCGCGAGCATCTCCCCATTCTGGATATGAGTCTAGTGTTGATAGATGCAGATTTTTCATACAACATGGTCCCTGCACATAAGCCAAGTATCAATACTTCATCTGTAGTGCATCCCAAGAAATGGGGGTCTATCACACCACTGGAGAAAAATAAATTGCTCTGTTGTATTTATTAGCAAATGATATGCAGGTTTTTAACAGGGCACATGTATCCTGGGTAGTAGCCGCTGCTGATGCCCCTTTCAGATTCCGTTTACTTGGCTGGTGCATCATCCCTCAGCTGCTTTGTGTTTTGGCCGCTAATCACTCAGAGCTGCACCCTTCTTTTGAGACTTGCCCTCATCTGATCAGAGTCACCTCATCCAGAAATACCAAAGAGGTTATACCCTAATTTCCAGAGACAGCCTAAAGCCAATGCCTGATTATTGGGAATATAAAAGCTGGTCCTTTTGCCTCAAGGGGGTATAAATCTATGATGCCATTCATGCTCTGGAGTTCCCTTTGGGATCAGGCTGAGGCTACACTACAGCTGTTCAGTTGACCTCACGTATTTGCTGAACTCTCCCCTACCCTGTTTCCCACTACCTTAAGGGTTTCTTTCACCTAAGATTATGCTTTCACTCACTTACTTGCACAAGAATCCTCATCTCAGGCTCTGCTTCCAGGGACCCTGACCTAAGATAATACTCTATGGGTAATTTGAGGGATGTTTAAGGATCATTTTGACTATATGCAACTTTAGCCTTATCCATTGATTTCATGAGATAGGATTTCATTGCTTTCCTCTTCAAGTTCCCAGTGCCTAGCACAGTCTGAGACCTAAGAGGCCCTCCATTTAACTTTGGTTGAATAAATGGATGAATGAACGAATAAACACCATGCATTTCTTTCTTTCTTTCTTTTTTTTTTTTTTTTTTTTTGCGGTATGCGGGCCTCTCACTGTTGGGGCCTCTCCCGTTGCGGAGCACGGGCTCCGGACACACAGGCTCAGCGGCCATGGCTCACGGGCCCAGCCGCTCCGTGGCATGCGGGATCCTCCCGGACCGGGGCACGAACCCATGTCGCCTGCATCGGCAGGCAGACTCTCAACCACTGCGCCACCAGGGAAGCCCTAGGGACTCTCTTTAAGAGAAGGTCAGATTTCAAATGTAAAATTAAATGGAGCTCTGAGGCTTGAGCTTCATTAGCTTCATGGTAAATCTGCCTCTGCCTTCCAGTGAAAACACACAAGGCCTATTGTTTTTTTGTTTGTGTTTTTGCGTTACGTGGGCCTCTCACTGTTGTGGCCTCTCCCATTGCGGAACACAGGCTCCGGACGCGCAGGCTCAGCGGCCATGGCTCACGGGCCCAGCCGGTCCGCGGCATGTGGGATCTTCCCAGACCGGGTCACGAACCCGCGTCCCCTGCATCGGCAGGCGGACTCTCAACCACTGCGCCACCAGGGAAGCCCAGGCCTATTGTTTTAAACTATCCTGTTTCCCAATCCACATACCATGTCTGGAACACCAAATCTCTCAAAAACTTTACATTCCATTGCTTCTGAAAGCCCACCTCCTCTATAAAATCTTTTCTACTGAACAGCAGAAACAGTGATATTTCTTTAATTCCAGTTTCTCTAAAATTTAATTCCATATTTTCCTCCACTTATCACCCTACAACACATACTTATCCCATTTGTTTTAGAAAATGACATATAGTCATGAGCAGCCCATGATGCACAATTAGGTATAAAGTTGGCTTTGCATATCAAAAGACATTAGTTATTATCTTTATCATTACATTTGAGGCAGAAGCCCTTTTCTAGGTGCAAAAAGATTTAGGGAAATACAATTTCTAGTATTTGACTTAATATAGCTGATTGGCTAGAAAAAGGGACAAAATACTAAAGATGACCAGATGGAAGGTAGTGAAGCACTAAAAACAAAACCAGAGCATCCCTGGTGGCGCAGTGGTTGAGAGTCCGCCTGCCGATGCAGGGGACATGGGTTCGTGCCCCGGTCCGGGAAGATCCCACATGCCGCAGAGCGGCTGGGCCCGTGAGCCACGGCCGCTGAGCCTGCGCGTGCGGAGCCTATGCTCCACAACAGGAGAGGCCACAACAGTGAGAGGCCCGTGTACCGCAAAAACAAAAAACAAAAAACAAAAAACAATCAGAAGTCAATGCTGTCTAAGGACTTAGTCTTAACGCTCAGCTCCTCCAGGCCTGAACCGGCACTAGGGCCTAGCAGTGACTTTTATGGGTTTATTTCCCCTTTAAAGCAGAGAACTCACAAAGTCCCACAACCAATTTTGTTTCCGAAAGAAAACGGTGGCAATTATGAGGCTAATTCCATCTGATTTCCATTTCAGGTGTTATTGCATAAAAGCTTCGAGGACTGGGACATGGAATAGAGACACAGAGGCCTTATTTGAAATGAGCCAAGTTGAGGGCAGCATTCCCCTCAAACCAGTGGGCAGTAAGAGAGCTTTCCAGAATGGAAATGTAAACTTTCTGAACTGCATAACTGCTTTTCTTTAGAGTTATTGGCAAGATTTCACAAAAAGTTATTAAAGATTCTACACAGAAAGTGCTCTGCTCTAAGTTTCAGTCTGCCTTCATAAGCTTAAAAATTCAAGCAAACGTTCAATAGTTGGATGATTCTTAATTTTTCAGCCTGTTTAAGAATCAAAGGCTACAAAATAGTCATTCCCAGAACAGCCACAGAATATGTATGGTTTGCGTCTCAAGTATAGTGGGGCAATCTCTTAAACCTGTGTAGCAAAAGCCTGACAATGGAGATGTTCAGAGGACAAGCTTTGGGGCCAGGCAGACCTGGATTTGGCAGGAGCCTTTGCCATTAGTTAGCTGCATGAGACATTGCTTTAACCTCTGAATCTCAGTTTCCTTATCCAAAAGCGGGGATAATGCCTACTTCTTAGTGGGTTTTTTTGTTTGTTTGTTTTTGCGGGGGGGGGGAGAGAATTAAGCATGTCACTTAGCATTAATAGGGTGATCAAATTCTTCTGGCTTGCCCAAGACTGTCCCGTTTTCAAACGGTAAGTCCCACATTCCA